CCTCCCTCTCCTTGTGTCCCTCCCCCCCTCTCCTTGTGTCACCTTTTGTCCTCTTTATGTCACAACACCCCATCCCTCCCCCTCATGTGCGTTTTCCTCCCCCTCTCACAACACCCATCCCCCCCTCTCCTTGTGTCTGACACCCCGTCCTCCCCTCTCCTTGTGTCTCTACCCCATCCCCCCCCTCTCCTTGTGTCTGCCCATCCTCCCCTTCCCTCTCCTTATGTCTGCTTATCCTCCCCTCTCCTTGTCACATTCCTCCCCTCTCCTTGTGTCTGTACATCCCCCCTCTCCTTTGTCTACACTTGTCCCTCCCCCCTCTCCTTGTTCTGTCCCTGTCTATCCCCCTCTTACCGTCACAACACCCATCCCTCCTCCTTGTGTACTGCACCCCATCCCCCTCTCCTTATGTCACCCTTTAATCCCTCCCCCTCTCCTTGATGTCTGTACCCCATCCCCCCTTATGTCTGCAACCCTGCCTCACACTCTCCCCATGCACCACCCCATCCCCCCCTCTCCTTGTGTCCTGTCCCATCCTCCCCTCCCACATGTCTGTGCCCATCCTCCCTCTCATATGTCTGTGCTCCATCCCTCCCCTCTCCTTATGTCCGCAACACCCCATCCCCCCTCTCCTTATGTCACTTCCTCTCCTTCCCTGTCCCCCCTCTCCTTATGTCCTTACCCATCCCCTTCTTACCCCATCCCCCCTCTCCTTATGTCACAACACCCCATCCCTCCCCCCTCTCCTTATGTCAGTCATCACCCCCCCCCTCCTTGTGTCTGTCCCTCTCCTTGTGTCCCACTCTTTCCCCCATCCCCCTCTCCTTGTGTCTTCTTTATCCTCTCCTTGTGTCCCTCGCACCCCCTCATCTCTGTCTGACACCCCTCCCCTCTTTGCGTCCTCCCCTCATCTGTCTCCCCTCATCATCCCCTCATGTCTTGCACTCCCCTCACTCTCTCTCATGTCCGCAACCACCCCTCCCCCTCCTTATGTCACAACACCCCCATCCCTCTCTCCTGTATTCCACAACACCCCATCCCCCTCTCCTTGTGTCACAACACCCACCCTCCCTCTCCTTATGTCACGCTTAATCCCCCACCTACTTTGTCCCCCATCCCCCCCCTCTCCTTGTCCCCAAACCCCATCCCTCCCCTCTCCTTATGTCACAACACCCCATCCCCCCTCTCCTTGTGTCCACAACACCCCATCCCTCTCTCCTTGTGTCTCCCTCTCCTTGTACAACACCCCATCCCTCCCCCTCTCCTTGTGTCAGCATACCCCATCCCCTCTCCTTGCGTCACAACACCCATCCCATCCCCCTCTCCTTCTGTCACAACACCCCATCCCCCCCTCTCCTTATGTCACACTTATCCCCCCCTCCTTATGTCACAACACCCCATCCCTCTCCTGTAACACCCATCCCCTCCCCTCTATGTCACAACACCCCATCCTCCCTCTCCTTGTCCACAACACCCCATCCCCCCTCTCCTTATGTCCACACACCTCCCCCTCTCCTTATGTCTGCTACCCCATCCCCCTCCTTACGTCACAACACCCCATCCCCCCTCTTATGTCTGTACCCCATCCCCCTTATGTCACATCCACACGTCTCCCATCCCTCCCCTCTCCTTATGTCCAACACCCCATCCCTCCCCTCTCCTTATGTCCAACACCCCATCCCCCTCTCCTTACGTCACATCCCCCTCTCCTTGCGTCTGACCCCATCCCCCTCTCCTTTGTCTCACACCCCTCCCCCCTCTCTTATGTCCCACCCCTCATCTTACCCCATCCCCCTCCTTATGTCACACACCCCATCCCCCCTCCTTGTGTCACAACTTCCCATCCCCCTCTCCTTACGTCACAACACCCCATCCCCCCTCTTTGTCTGCTTACCTCACCACTGTCTATGTCAGAACATCATTGGCTCCTATCTGTCAGCCTCTAAACAGATAATGTAAAGAGCAATGTCTATATAACCATTATTATAAACTATAACATGGAAACTTACACTCACAGATGAGATCGTTTTGGCATGCTTAGTCTGGCTACTATTATGAAGTTCATACTTGGCATTCATTTTACTATAATGTAAACACAGTACAGTACAGTACACTACAGTATGTTGTTTTGTATGATTTTAGATTCCTAAAAATTCCCACAGACGAACAGCACAACCTGTGAATTCCAGAACTTTTCCAGTTTCCATACATAGCTCAATTTAACCTTACCTAACCTAACTAAATATACAGTAACATAATTTAATCTGCTTTATCTAAACTTCATTTATCCTCAGCAAAGTCTCCCACAATTCTATTTCAACATGTGTTTAACTTAGGTTACAAATGATTCTGGGAATGTGCAGGTTCTGAAATTTCACACAGCAATACAGTACAGTACATTATACTGTATAGCAATACTGTACAGTGCACAAGTCTAGTTATGTTATATTGGGTTATATCGTTTAGTTTGGTTATTTTATGCGTAAATTATATAATTTCCATGTCACCAAATGTCACCAACAGTGCCCATGTGTTTCTGAGCAACAGACAAGAAAGTTACTTTCAATGGTACGAATATCAGGTTCTTTCTGCTTATATACTGCATGCTGGTTAAGTTAAGTTTGGTGGTAAAATGTCGTTTCAGTCATGCACCTATTTTAAAATCGTCAGAATCATCCAACACATCAAAAACCATCAGAAAAACATAAATTCAACCAAACCTAAACTTAAAATCCTAACAACAGGTGCATAACCGAAACAATAATACAGGTTGTACCTCTCTAGTCCGGCAACCTGCGAGACAGTGCATTTGACAGGAAATTCACCTTTTCCCTGATAGATAGTGACTTGTGCTTATGCTTGAAGCACTAGCACCACTTTCTCTGCATCATGCTCTTTGAAGACATATTGAAGGGTTAAATGTCGTATAATGGCTTTTCAAATTTGGCAGTTTTTACTCTGCGTATTTTATTGGAAACACAATAAAATAAAATTTGGGGCGGTAGCAGTTAAATGGGTTTTGGCAACCCCTTAGCGTGCGAAGCGACGTGCATAATCGTGTGCGTCATTTCTCTTATGTACAAAATTTATATTGTTTATTACTAATATCTTTTTTATTGAATAATGTTTTATGTGTGCAAAATGAGCAATACAATTCATTATATCATAGAATATTAAAACACACGAAAGACACAGCATTGTTTTAGTTGATTACAAAGCCAGTGACTGACTGGTTCTACATATAAAACTGAAGAAAATAAGACCGTGGTTGTAGCTGTAGTA